AATTGTGGATAGATTTCTAATTCGGTCCACGATTACATTTCAATAGTTTCTTACCCGTTCCTAATGTGGTCATACACAAATTCACTGAAATAAGCGGCATGCAACATCCTAATATTAATTAGAACACACACTTAATCAACTTCTACCGAAATTAATGTAATTAGCCGAAAGAGTCTGATTACGCTAATAGACAAGTTTGATATTCCTAATCCCTCATTTGCTACAATGATTTAAAGCCTTCCGTTTTATTACGGCGAATCCATTAGCCCTCTCTAGTTATTAACAATTGGAAACTTTGGCGCTTTCAGTTTTAAGTTTAAAATTAGGACAATAAAGCGCATTGATTATTAAAGTTTATTATTAATATATAAAATTATAAAGGTGCAGTATATTTTAACCTCCCCCCGGCTTTCCTAATAGGCGCCCCGCCATCGATTGACCGTTAATAATTAATTAGTTTAATGGAACATGTGATTAGATCACTTTGATTATATAACACTGTTTATTTATTTTATGCTGCAGGTAAACGCACGGGTTCTTCAGTAATGGAAGCAAAACGTTTGGGAGCTTTTACATTTTCTCCATTTACGTACCAATAGAATTTGTTATTTTAATGTTTAAGCAGGCGCATAGCTGGTTAATTAAGACTCATTTAGTTCTGCTTTATTATACTATAAAATGCATTTCTCATGTGTACTAGAGATCCAGTTGCAAAAACACTCGTTGGTTTATAATGTTGCCTGCAGCAAATGTTTTATATGGAAAAGTGTAGCAAATGTCATTTTTCCTCCGGTTACAGTATACTAATGGGTTAATGGCTTGCGACATGAACTTCAATGAGTGCACTTTTAAATACACACGATGTCCATCATGATACAAAACTGTTTAGTTTAATTTTGCATTGGATTGGATTTGGTTCAGGTGGGGTAGATTTTTTAATTTCCAAACTATAACTACAAAAAAAATCGTACAAAGCTTAATATTACTCTACATAACTACCATCTACACCAGTACATTTAGTTCAGTTTGCACGTCAAAACCAAGCCCTGTGCAATAAAAAGAAATCATAGGGTGCTAAACCTTGGCTATAGGGCTTACTTTCTGGAAGATTCCCTGTGAGACACGCCTGTGATAATCTAAAAAAAAATAACTAAACGTTCACCAAAGCGTCCAAATGCTCCAAATATATTCTCACCAGTTTCAGATCTGGCGTAAGGAGTCAGGAATTCTATTGAGCACATTTTTTTCATGCCCAAATATTCGTGTGTAATCTTGAATATTGTACTTTCAGTCACATTGCTTTATAAAAAGTAGGGACATCTCGCCGTTTGCGATAAGGGGTTTTAATCGGACGAAATTTAATCAACGTTTTGTGTGTACTCATAAAAAGTTACTTCGAGTTTGAGTAAAGATTGTTTACTTAGTGAAAGATAAACGTTTTTACCGTCCGAGCAGCCGTTGAAAGTTATTGAAATTAGGTAGAGATTGATGCGAAGACCGAAAGTGGAATTGAAGTAACAATGAAAGTTAGCACGGATAAAATACTCGGTTGAATTGACGTACCTGAAGACAAATAAGAATAAGTGTCTACAATGGGATTAACGACCTTACGGGAAGGGTATTTAGCTGCTTATATAGCAAACTTCAGTATTTCTCGAAAGTTCTCGAAGGCTTCCGAACACGTCATATTTCGCGGAAATAATGCATCACATCCGCCTTAGTTTCTTAACGCTGAGGACTAATCTTTTCTGGCGCCTCGATGTCTATCTCGATTTTCAGAGTATCCGCTACAATACATTCCGCCGCAGTTCGGCAAATAACGCAGGAATACATAATATGTGCATGAATATATAAGTCGAATAACGTTATTGACATATAACCGCAGACGGAGATGTCACTTCTTTAAGAAGGTACGGATAATGAAGCAGGTCTACCTTAAAGGACGTTACCATTGACGACGTACTCAATGAAGAACAATGAATTTTATAGTTTAGATTCATTTTAGAAACGGTTTAATATGTCAATGTTAGAAAAAAGCTATTTTTGTACTCATTGAATGGAAAGATAATGTTTCCAAGCATCCTCGATGCACGGGAAAACGACTTTCCCGCATCGCGGTGTTTTTTAGTTTCCGCTGGAGAGCAGGGGTTATGCGCGTTCTTCGGTTGGTAGTACTTATTGAAGTCAACGAACGTCATGTCATGGTTAACTGTCATCTGCTGTAAAATCAATTAAACCGTTGGTTGAGGGTATTTAGTGCGATTAATCGGAAACAGACGTACACTAAGTTTTACGTAAATATATAAACAAGAACTTATAACGCAATCAAATTATTTTTCAGAATTGGAACTCAAGAAAAAGTAAAATTTATTGTTAAAACGTCTTAAAATGTGACCAGTGATATACTGCAACTATTCGCATATATGCAGTTTAAGAAAGCACGTATTAACACATACAAAGCTTCCAAGGATTTTAAATGTAACGAGTGTATTTACGCAACTCAAGATATTCAGTGCAAACGATGCAATGCCGTGACCAGTAGTAGCACTCATTGCAAAGGCAAAATATGTTAACCAAAGATGTGGAAGTTTTAAATGTGACCACTGCATTATTAAAAGTGGGTAGTTACAAAATTATGTTACCAACCAAACATATGATTGTGTTACCAACTCATGATTAAAAAAAAGCTAATTTACAAAACTATTAATTTTGACCTTTTTTACGCAATTCGTTACAAAAAATATTGTACCTAACTCTTTCGGAAAGAATTTTCCCGCATTCGCACTAAATGCAGCACTCCCTACGGTCGTGCTGCAAACAAAGTGCTCATGCGGGAAAATTAACTTACCGAACTTGTTAGGTAAATAACTATTTCATTTCATTTCCAAAATAGAGTCATTTGCACTACTTCTCGTGCAAAATCATTCAATATCTTCCTAGGCGACTGCCGGTGTTCGGGGTGCCGAAGAGTTGTTAGTTTAGAGTAAAAACTCATGTATGTACCTAGTTACTTTAAATATCCTACAGTTCTCTAGATTTATGCGGTTAAACTCAAGTAAATAAGGAATATATTACATAGAGCCTACTTATACTTTAAACGTCTACTCTACGAAACTCGGGGCTAAGTAAAATTGCCTCTAATCTTATACTTTACTCTTTTAGCTTTACCCGGCTGAAGGAAATAACTCGAAGATGACAAACTTTCCAAGTAATAGATATAATCCGTCAACGTAAAAGTTTCAGTTAAACGTGAAGTTTGATCGAATTACGCGGTCAAAGTTCGATTTTTCGTTTTAGAGAACCAATCGAATTACCTGCAAATGCAGAATATTCGAGTAAACCTATGGCTGACGCGACGCGATCGTAATGCACTTTTCCTGTTAATGTCGACGTGTTCAATTGACCGTGAGAAAGCACCGGCTGCTGCACAAAATTGCGAGATGTTTAGAATTAAATTCGAGTTAATAGTTTGTAAGCAAATTCTCGATGTGTTTCCAGTAAAAATTCAATCGCCCTTTGGCGTTTTGATGATTTGCCATTTCGCTAAAAAAAAGTATGCTTGGTTTTCCATAGTTGATCGATTTTGTTTAACTCACGTTCCTTTCGGTCAATTATTGAATGCATTTTACTCTTATTTTAAGCAATAAGTACAGAAGCGTGCATCTAATTGTTAGTAAAGTCTCTTACCCAAATTATCAATCTCTATTGTTTCAGTTTCTCGCATAAAGAGGAGAAATCGTGAATCGCTGCATGTTGATGATAACCAAATGTGTTTAAACACAACAAAATATGATAATGTCCACGCTTTTCAGCAAAAAGCATTAACGAGACACCAAAATGTTAACCAAATCCTGTTCGTATCACATTTACTTACAGAATAACGGGCGGCGTTATAGAGACGCGGAGTTTTTCCCCTTTTTTGCAAGAGCGACCTTTCCGGGAAGTTTATAAAAGATTTTCAACTATTAAAAAGAAATATGTGAAAGAACACGAATCGTAAAGTGTAAAATATGACCCATGAGGAAATACTTAACTAAAATACGAGAACCGTTACGATAAGCTTCACAAATCCTTCCTTGCGCCCACCGGAAATTGTTGCACAAAATCATAACGCGCTTAATAAAAAAAAAATGCGTTTTATTGGGTATCAGGGAGATTGCCTACATTTATTGCCAAATTATAAAGAGTTTTTCAGGCGAAAAGGAGGGGAATCGCTGGATATTATGCGTGAAAAATTCGCTGGCCGGTCTCAATTTGGAATTCCAAAAATGTTGACGGGATTGCGTAGGTATTTGCTTTTATTGGCCATATGTCAATTTGGACACGTTTAGGTAGCATACGTGGATAACAAGGTAGAATTGGATTTTACGTAACTGTACATTTTTATGAATTTCATCTTTTGAGGAATATGATATAATATTATTGTGCTTTATAACATCTTTGTCCTCGCAATTTAAATGTATTCAACATTATGGAAATACAGAAGGACCAGCACAGTATTTGTTTTTTAATTACTGTGTTTCGATTTACCTCCTTACTACCACAAAACAATCTTTATGCGTATGGTCTTACCTATAGTTACTATTATTTGTTTTGGAGTTGGATTACTAATTAAAACACTCCCGTGTATTTTCTCTTATCGATCTAATTTATTTTTGATATTGACATAACGAACGTTAAACATAACAATTGAATATCTCATTAATTTTCCCTATTACTTTGATCTGATCAATGACAAATAACATAAATTTGTTGGGACACAACATTCAGTCCCCTATTGAAAACATCCAGGTTTTCAACATTCGTGGAGTAATATCTACATAACTGATTTGAAATACAGAAAACATTGATGAAATTAACTACTACAAATAATGCACAAATATACAACATGGTGATAAGTACAAATTCAAATGAGTAATACTACTAGAGTAACAAACGAGTAACATTAAAACTAATTAATATAAAATGTAAAAATAACAAAGTTGAACTGGACAGACATTTTAGTGATTGTCTATTGGTAATACACATATCTTAGTAATAGGACGTTTCATTACACCACCTTTCGTTTTGATAATAACTACGCGCACTTTTTCATCACTACCACGGTGAATATCTAAGACGCGTCCATATGACCATTGGAGTGGAGGCAGGTTTTCTTCTTTTATGAGCACCATGTCTCCTATTACAATATCTGCTTTGGAGCATTTCCATTTCGTTCGCTGTTGTAAGTGATGTAAATATTCTCGTTGCCAGCGCCTCCAGTAATGTTGCTTGATTTGGTCAACCAATTGCCACCGGGAGAGTGTGTTAATTTTTAATGTCGTAACGTCAGATTCGATGGGAGCAACTAGTATGTCTCCAATTAGGAAGTGACTGGGGGATAAGGCGGTGAGGTCGTGAGGATCGTTACTTATGGGAGTTATAGGTCGGGAATTTATACACGCTTCAATACCCGTTAACACAGTGTACATCTCCTCAAAAGTAAGATTGGCGTTGCCTACAACGCGTTTTAAATTGTGTTTGATTAATTTAATACTAGCTTCCCAAAGTCCTCCATGATGAGGTGCTCTGGGCGGTATAAAATGCCAATTAATATTTTGGGCCGTTACATTCAATTTATTTTTTAATGATTCTGAGCGCATAAGTTTTTGAAACTCACGATCAGCTCCAACAAAGTTCGTGCCATTATCCGAGTAAAAATCAGTTACATGACCTCTGCGAGAGATTAATCGTTTAACTGCTCCCAGAAACGAGTCAGTAGTCATATCTCCAACTAATTCTAGATGCACCGCTTTGGTGGCTAAGCAAATGAATAGCGAAATATAGCCTTTAATTAACCTTTTTCCGCGACCTCTGCCTTCTTTTAACGATAAGGGACCAGCATAGTCCACTCCACAATGAATAAATGGTCTAGCAGCAGAAACGCGGTCAAATGGTAAATTACCCATAATTTGTTCGGATGCGATGGGATTTACTTTATAGCATTTTATGCATTGTCTCAAAACTTTTTTGATTTGATCTCTACCTGCAATAGGCCAATATCTCTGTCTAAGGGAATTTAAAGTAGTTAGTTGTCCTGAATGTAATAATCGAGTATGTTCATCGCGAATCAAAGCCGCTGTTAATTTATGTTTTGGCAAAATAACTTGATGCTTGGTGTCGAATGATAAACTCGAATGACGCAATCGTCCCCCCACTCTTAACAAACCATTTTCGTCTAGGAAGGGATTAAGTGATAAAATTGTACTTTTTGTTGAAATGCTCTTATTATTTTTTAAATTTTGTATCTCAACATGGAAGGCATGATCTTGTAATATACGAATTATGCATATTTCCGCATTTCGTTTTTCTGTAAATGTTAAATTTCCTACTAATTTCGAAGATTTATTATTTACATTATGAACAAATCTCTTACAATATGCAATAATGTGACATAAACGTCTAAATGATGAAATTTTGTCGAAGACTGGTAACATTAACGTCGTGTTGCTTAAAAAACATTTTGTTTGCGTTGACTTTAAATCAGGTATTTCTGATATTTCATTAGTATTAGGTTGTACTGGAGTTTCATACTTTAACGTCATTAGGAATTGTGGCCCATGCCACCACATATCAAGATTCGCCAATTCGCTTGGAAGAGTGCCACGTGAAATTATGTCTGCCGGGTTTTCGTTAGTCGAAACGTGATTCCACATATTAGCATCAGTATTTGTTTGAATAATCGATACGCGGTTTGCAACAAAGGTTTTTAGTTTCGAGGGTTCAATTTTTAACCATGCCAACACAATAGTTGAATCAGAGTAAAGTGATATTTTATTGGGTTTTATATTTACAACTGGGATAATTTTATTCATTAAACGTGTTAGAAGTAGCGCTGCGCATAGTTCAAGCCTAGGGATGCTTATCGTTTTTATAGGCGCAACTTTCGATTTTGAGCATAATAAATGGCTACTTATTAGAGAATTGTTGGAAACGGTTTTAATATAAATGCAGGCGCCGTATGCCCTTTGAGAAGCATCGCAAAACCCATGAATCTCAAATGTTGAGAACCTAGGTGATCCCACTACTCGTCTCGGTATTGAATACGTGGAGATCGTTGGCAAATCTTTGCAAAATTGTTGCCAAATAGTAAAAACGTTCAAGGGTACTGACTCATCCCACCCGATTTGCAATTGCCATAAAGTTTGTAATAATATTTTAATGGTAACAATTATTGGACCCACTAATCCCAAAGGATCATAAATTTTGGAAATATTAGATAATATTACTCTCTTTGTTACTTTATTATTCGTTACTTGATAATTATTTGAATATTTTAAAATATCTTTCTCGGTATTCCATAAGAGCCCTAAAATTTTGCTTTCACATTGTCTATCGAAATTTACGTCATTAGATTCGTTCATTTGGAATTCGGGGATCAACCGTTTATCGTTGGAAGCCCATTTTGCTAAATGGAAGCATCCATTTCTTAATATGCGATCAATTTCGTTTCGTAATTGTAACATTTCTTCAATGGTATCAGCGCCCGTAAGCAAGTCATCAACGTAAAAATCTTCGAGAATTGCTCTTTGAGCGCACGGCATCTCAGTAGCTTCTAAACCTAATTGTTTAAGGCAACGTATCGCGAGGTATGGTGCCGAGGTTGTACCGTACGTGACGGTGTTTAATTGATAGGTTTGCAAAGAATTGTTGCAATCTTCCCGCCATAATATTTGTTGATATTTGCGATCATCGGGGTGTATTTCAATTTGGCGATACATTTTAGAAATATCTGCGGATACTACATACTGGTAAGTTCGAAAACGTACTAAAATCAAGAATAATTCTTGCTGAAGAGATGGACCGACGTGCAGTAGAGTGTTCAAGCTTAAACCTGTGTTTGTTTTCGCGCTTCCATCGAACACTACTCGTAACTTAGTTGTTACTTTGTTCTCGTTAACTACTGCATGGTGTGGTAAATAAAACGCAATGTCATTTTTGCACGAATCAATGTTTGATACTAAACTCATATGCCCTAATTTAATGTATTCATGTATAAATTCAGTATATCTAGTTTTTAAGTCATTATGTTTATGAAAACGTTTTTCCAGAGAATAAAATCGTTTTTCTGCGTGAAAATTCGAGGAACCTAATTTTGTAGGATCATTTTTAAAAGGTAATCTGACTACGAATCTACCATCCTTATTACGTGTATATGTATTTAAGAAATGATTCTCGCACTCTAATTCATCGGCTGAATATCGACGTATAGGTTATCATTGATTTCCTCTATCTCCCAAAAACGTTTGATATTATCATTGATCACGTTGAGGTTTAATTGATTTACACTACGATCTGTAATATTATTTGATAAATTGGAAAATGTGGCATTTCCTCCGAATACCCACCCTAAATGAGTTTTTTGCAAGATCGGCTGATTTTGAAGTTTTATTTGTCCCACGCATAAAAGTGTCCAAAAAATCTCTGCTCCGAGTAGTACGTCTATGGGCAACGATTTGTGGAAGTTATTGTCAGCTAATTTGATTCCCGATGGAATATGAAATGAATTTTTATCGAAATCAAAGCTCGGTAAACAGTCTGTAATTTTTGGTATAGCTAAGCAATCCATATTAGCCTTGAATGAGTTATACATCGATTTGATAGTAACATTTACTATTTTATTGGCAGAAGACACGTGCTGATTAATACCTACAATTTTCCAATCGATGTCGTTAGCGGGAAGTTTTAATTTGTTTGCGAGGTTGAGTGTAATGAAATTAGACTGGCTTCCTGCATCTAATAATGCCCTACATTTATGCACTCTGCCGCTAACGTCAAAAATTTCCAAACTCGCGGTCGATAAAAAGGTATAAGCGTCCTAGATCCTTCACTCAACGGTATAAGCCTTTGACGTTAGTGTTTTACTGACATGATTACAACTACTTTCATTAGATGTCGATGGATTATTATTTAATGTAGATGATTCAAATTTTTGATTTCTAACGTGAAAACGTGTATTGTGCTTTCGATGACAATGTTTGCACCCCATTGATCTACAATTAATCGTACTGTGACCTTCGCGCAAGCAATTTGTGCAAAGTTTTAACCGCCTGGCTTCCTGAAGAGCATTTTCCGGGGTCAGTTCGTTAAATTTGTCACATGCAAATATAGAATGCGATTGATTACAATAATGACATTTTTTCGGGTTCGATTCTTGCGGGGGAGCACTGCATTATTTACAGAACGTTGCATAGGCGTATATTTTGGTTTTTGAATAAATTGATTCGAAGTCATTTTACTTCCTTTATCAAATTGTAGCGATTCCAATATGTCACATTTATGTTTTAAAAATTCAAGTAGTTCGCTTAAGGCAGGAATTTCAGAAATAATTTCATCCTCCCACTCACGTGTAGTAAGATAGTCTAATTTATTAACTACTAAATGAATAATTAAAACATCCCAATGATCAGTAGGTAATCCTAAGTTATGTAACACTTTTAAATTTAACGTTAATTTATCTATTAATTGACGAATTGCAGTAAAGTTGTCTTTTGTTACAGTTGGTAATGAAAATAAAGCATTTACGTGCGTCTTAATAATGAGTTTTTTATTATGATAACGTTTCATAAGTAAATCCCATGCAATAGGGTAGTTGTCAGAAGTGATAGGTAAGGATTCTAAGACTTGCGCCGCTTCCTTCTTTAAACATGATTTTAAATAATGCAGTTTCTGGATATTAGACAGATTTTTATCATTGTGGATTAAGCTATTGAAAGTTTCATAGAATGACAACCATTGTTCATAATTACCTTCAAATGATGGCAAATCTATCGCAGGTAATTTAAAAGCACTTTTTGGTTTGAATTCAATAGGATTTTCTTGTAGTTGAGATACGATACTGACCGGTTTTAATTTAATTGTTCTCTCGCTAATGACATGAGCTTATAATACTCATTTTCGAACCTTTCGCTTTCTTGCAAATTCCTAAGTGACTCGTCTTCATTGTCTTTTATAGCATACCAAACATCAATTTCTTGTTGTATACTAGAAAATTCACTCAACAAGCCCTGCAATTTATCATATCTAACCTTTAATTCTGTTAATTTGGCATTATCGTATGAATTCAAAAAAGTAGAAAATCGTGTTAGTTGACTTTTTATACCACCACGTTTAGCAATTAAAACCTTTATGTCTGACATTTTTGAGAATATGTAACGTGAACGAGAAAAAGAATTGTGTACTACAATATAGGATTAGGTAATTATTAATGGATGGAGATTTACGTGAATTGATGGCAAATATATGTCCAGCGACGATTTTTCTTAATCAATGCAATGATTTTGGTTCCATGTTCCGTGGCCAGTACTTGAATAAAACGTAATGTTCTATAGCGTTTCGATGATGCGATTCTTCTTAAAACGAGAGACAGGATGACAATTTCGATGATACGGCAATTCTTCTTAATTGAAGACGTTCAGCAATTGAAACCAACGAGAGACGCGACAACGATTTTTTACTCGAAGGACCATGTTTTGGAGTTGGATTACTAATTAAAACACTCCCGTGTATTTTCTCTTATCGATCTAATTTATTTTTGATATTGACAGAACGAACGTTAAACATAACAATTGAATATCTCATTAATTTTCCCTATTACTTTGATCTGATCAATGACAAATAACATAAATTTGTTGGGACACAACA